CCAGTCAAGGGCACATGCCCGGGTTGTGGGCTGCATCCCCAGTGGGGGACTTGCAGGAGGCAGCCGAACCACCATGATTCTGTCTCATCATGGATGTTTCTACCTATCTCTCCCTCTTCCTTCCTCTCTGAAATCAATAAAAATATAAAAATAAGTAAATACATAAAATGTAAAGGAGTAAAAAAAATGTAAAGGAGTAAAAAAAAAACTGGGGAAATTAGATCAAGGGGGAAACTCTGGCCCACTTATAGTTTCCCCAAATATTAAATTATAAGAGTTTATACCCTAGAAGGTAACTTCAATTTGGAGAAGTTAGATACAGACAAGATCTACTTTTCTGGCGTCATTTTCCAGGTTTTAAAAACTGTACTCTCTTAAGGCCCTGAGGATTACTTCTGAGAATAAAAAAGTGGAAAAGTTTAACACATCTGCCTCTGAGGTTTAATAAAGTCAGAAATACTTGAACGGGAGAGCACCTTGAAAAGAGGAAAGTGGGAGAATCCAAGCTCAATCAATACTACTACTCATTCAGAAAGAGGAAAAAATTTACATCCTGTCGGAAAGAGCATTGTTTGCCTTGTTAATGTAATTGGATTTCCTTCATACAAAGTCACAAGCACACCTCATAACTCAGTTATTTCCCCGAAGCACGTTGCGACTGAGGATACGGAATAAAGAAAATGTGACATTTGACAAAGGCAAAAGTAACTTTTATTGCTATAGATTACAAAGAGAAAAATAAAAGTGTTTCCTCTGCATACAATACTGTTGGGGGGGCACTCTGACGCCAAAGGGTCGTTTTATCCCCCCCCCCAAAAAAAAATCCAAATAACTGGTCTCAAATAGTCTGTCCATGGTAGTGCTCAGAGCCTCTAAGCAAAAAATGTGTATGAAGTCAGCTCGCACGGCTCGTTCACAGAAGTAATTACATGCACGCGAAGGAAATGAATTAAGTGGGTTAAGTGCCGGCTGGAGGAGTGTGTTTTGAGACCTGCTCACAGGAAGCCACTACATCCTGCCCGTCACCGCCAGTCAC